TGTGTGTTTTCATGAAATATTTCCGAACAACCATTTCCAACATTATCCTTAGAAAATAAACCCATTTAAAATGATAGTGGTATCATATATCCGCAGAACGAACAGGTACAATGCGTTTCGTCTGAGGTTAAAAGTTAGGGGAATTATTCCCCTAAGTCATCTCTGTACTGTCTGTATCTGTGCATGTAAAATTGTTGCTGAAAAAGCGCATTGAGGTCGACCCCCAGAAAAGGGACATCTGGAATTTCCTTTTTTATTCTGGAACGCATTAGAGGTATAAATAAACCGTATAATTGATGCCTAAAATTTCCTAAAATTTATCTGTCCACTAACAAACATAATACCAGCTGTAAACTATGTCACTAATTTAGAATATTCTTGTCTAACTTAATAATTATTACTTAATTTACACAAAAAGTGATCTATTTTAAGCTGCTAGCGTATATTTATCGATTAGAACTTGCATACATATTTACAAGTTTAAAGATTTAAATCATCAAAGTATTAAAGCAGATATTCTAAAAGTTGCATCAAACACTAACATTAAAATCTGAAATTTAAACGCTTTAAAAGGCATTAAGAGAATAACAGAATCTAACCCAACAGGTGCGCAAGTAAGAAGTATATACATGCTTTATATTTTCTGTATAACGTATTAGTTCTTTTCTTGAGTATCATAAATTGGCAAATAAATGAATTCAGAGCAGAACATATACACTTTCTGAACATTAAAAAGTTCATACCGCTCTGTTTCGAGACGGAAAAGGTCTCAACCTATCTTTTAGATCATAACTATTTAATAAGTGCTTATAATGTCTACACGTGCATAGTATATAAATATTAAATGCTAACATCCTTAAGTTTGTTTTTTTTAACAACAATTTTGCTTTATATTGCAACTTTTTACAATTACTACAAGCATGTTGCATGTAACAAATAAAACATTCAAATTTACTCTGAAAACCTCCATTAGTGCTCAAACCCAGGCAGTGTCAATGCATTTTACTTGTTAACCAAAATCTCTCATGCTGATACCAACTAAATAATGACAAAAAGTAAATTTCAGTGAAAAGAATGAATCGCATCTCACCAAAAGAATAATAGAATATATCATTGGGTTAGATAGAGGATAGGGCAATCCCAATTTGGGGATGTTCAATTAAATTGGGAACGAGCCTTGGCGAGTTCCCGATGGAACCGATTGCCCGAACCTGACTTTCTATGGTTGACAAAAAGCATTTTACTGTCCGCAAAAAAAATCTTCTGATCCAGTTTACGTGTCGAAATATTCAACGAAAATAAATTCATATAAGATTTGTCATCAAAAAGCAAGGTTATTATGATAAAATACTTCAATATTTAAGTGGAAGATGTCATAATATTAGTGTTTATAAGGAATTCAGTCCATACCTCAATGGTTGACAAAAAGCGTTTTACTATTTTTTGCGCAAACATTACTAACCCTTTTCAGTTATATATAAGAAACGCATTTTTGTCAATAACTTAAGTATTTATTAACCTACAGCTGTTAAATCAGGATGAACAGCCATGTCCAATACATGACCCCTATTGATTTTAGGGTCATACGATCGAATGTCAGGGTCACAATGACCTTAAAACTGAAAATTGTACTTTCTGGAGCATAACACAAGTTCTACTTTGCTTGCAGTGTTCAAACGTCATATGATGATTGCCTATGTTGAATAAAAGATCCATATCTATATTTGGGTCATAAGGTCAAAGGTCAATATCATATGACCTTAATATTGTTAACAGTTTTACAACTGTCAAACTTCATAGGAGGATCACTTATATTGAGTACGTTAATTATATGGCCTTTATCTTTCCGTCTATCCGTCGTAGCATTTTTTCTTACAAGATACCAACTTGATGCTTTGGAAACAGCAACTGTATATTTGAAGGTTCTTCAGCTATAAAGGAGGGAGATATTACTTTATTTAATTCCCATGTATAACAAATGCTTCATCCTTACTTAAAAAAACACTTTCGGGCATATAATGCTCCGCCTAGCGGTGCTCATGTTATATCGTGTAATGCACAGTTCGAGGAGTTTCTCTTACATAAAACATGTCCTATTACAGCATGATAATGGATAGTTTTATTTGTCGACATTCATGCACTTCATGCACAAATTGAAAAATGCTTGCCTCCTTGTAAAACTATAATAACCATGCTTTATCACCACCTTTCGTTTTAATGTCGAGGATTTTTTAAAAATTACAAACGGTTTATACGTTCAGTTTTCAATACATGTTGGAATAATATATTTAAATAATAAAGATGCTGTCAGACTTATGACTCTAGAACGAATAGATAACTGTCTTATATTTTGTTCAATTTTGGATATTCAAACATTGGATTATTGTTAATTACTTCAACTGTCAGAACAATATTAAAAAAAGATGACAACACAATCATGCTTTAAACAATAATACGTGTTACAAACTGTGCAAGCGATATGTACTGATAAATATTTAAACACCCTTTACATGTATTTTTCTTTTCAAAGAATAACCTATTTTTACAGTTTATGGTTTGATTTACGTCAAATCGACACAATACTAATGACTGTCTAGCTTTACTTTCGGATGAGAAGCTCACGCTCTGCTCATGTGAGCTTCACATAATAAATTTATCCAAATTTGTTAACTTTAACTGTACCTGTTGAAAGATATGTAATGCATGCCAACTTGTCATAGATAATGAGATAGAATAACGCAACAGGTTACTCATAACTATCAATGAAAAAATGGGAATGATATTTCTGTATTATAGGCTTATAGCAACGACAAATTATAGTCAAAGTACACATATTTATTGAATTAAAAGAAACATCTTTGCTTTCTGAGTAATTCAATACTTTTGATCAACTCGGGGGAGAAATAATAAGGATGATAGTCATGATTTTGATGACGCTACAACAGTTTTGCTAAAATTACGTCCTGTTATTTTTTATCCACATTGACATTTTTTAGAAAGCACTTTACTTATAGAGTCATGAAAACAATTAAAACTGACTCTTAATATGACCTTAAAACAATGGTTAACCTTTACCGGTGATCTTACTAGTATTTTGGTCCCGGCTTTCTCAAAACATACCAATCAAGTTTATTACAATTTAAAGAAAATCTTCTTCAGACTTGATACAGAGTTTGTGGTAATTGATGATTGCAAACTGTTTGTTAGTCGGAGAAACTCCGTATGTTATCGGTTTGACTTTCTGTAAAAAAATAACAGGGAAGGACTGAATTTAGATGAATTTTCATTGGTCATATAAAAATTGCAAACTGAAATCGGTGAATATCATTGGTCATTCTAAAATTAAATATAAAAAACAGTTCTAATAATTCTAAAAAATGTAAAGGATAGTTCTTACCATTTTAAAATAAAACTTTAAGGATAGCTCTATGATAAAACGTAAGGGATATTTTTGTCACGTAGAGATAGTTCTAAAATGACATACGTATACAGGAATTTAACTTTAAAGTTTATTTGTAAATGATAACATATTTTTTAAAGTCAACCGGAAAACAAGAAAAAAGCACATCTAAAATTGAAGTTGTTTTTCTTTGAAAAATCACCAATATCAATATGCTATAATTTAATTTGAATGTTTACAAAATGGGTAATTTCTTAAAGCTACAAGAAATAATTATCATGTCATTGTTATACAAGTATTGCTTAAATTTTTTTTGTATTGACTTAAAAAACACAAATGTTAAACAGTTATACTTCATCCGTGTATCTTTTTAAAAAGATAATTCTTGTTTAAAAGCATGTTACGTCAGATATGACACTAATTGAAGCATTTTTTCATCATTTTGGATATCACAATCAATACTTTCAGGAATATTCAAAGTATTATACAACTCTTCTATGTCTTCGTAACTTAATGTTTCGTTATTAATATCACACATGTGCAAATGCAGTCTAACAAGCAAAAACCTCAATTTTCTATTTGTTAACATGATTCTCATCATTTCTCCGAATGTTCTTGGTATTTGTTGAACAGAGAGGTGAATGTAATCAATAAAATGTATGATAATTTGTATCTCATGAAGATTCTTTGAAACTCGATTAAATTCTGTTGGAGACCTGTACAAAATTGAGAAAGCAGTCCGGATCTTTGCAATTTTTAAGACAATGTATGGTCCTTCCTTCAGAAGAGAGTCTATTCTCATACAAATTTTGATTCGTTGAGAGTGTGTTAGTTTGCCTTCGAGCAAATTTCTTTGTGGAATCATATAGCTTGGAAAATTGTTCGTGACAACAAAATGTTTCAGGTAGGCAAGTGCCTTTTTAAGTGCTATTAATAATGCATGCTGGGTAAAATAATTATAGTCATTAAGTTCAGCTAACCAGAATACTACATTCTTCATAAGATATGTAGACATATCTTTACTTAGAGGTTTCAAAGTGACTTTAGGAATTTGTTTTAGCAATATAAAAACTTTTGTAAGGCAATCATTCAAACTATGAACCAATTTTATTTCACCTTTTGTGAAACATATTCTCCATTCTAAGAATTGAAAAAAGCTAGCCGTATGTCCTACGGGAACCACGTGTGAATCTAAACTTGAAACTTCTCTTATGACTGCAGCAGGCGGCCACTGATAATTTCTGCTTCTACATATCCATGAGCTTAAGTAACCAGGACACTCACATTTAAGAGCCATCACATCGTCTTCCGAAGTTAATGCCAAACGGTTTGATACTACTGAGGGACCTTGAGTTTCTTCTTTCACATTAATATATTCTTGATTTCCAGGCAAACGACTAATTTCAATCCTTAAATTTTTCATTTTATTTTTCAAAAAATCACTAGAAAGATATAAGCTATTTGGAGCTAGTTCAACCATGGATTCGTAAAATAATGTGGCTGTTGGAAGTCTGTTACAAATGATAACAGTTCTTAGTAAAGAATAACCAGGACGCGAGTGTTCCAAAACAAGTTTGAATTGGTGTTGTTCTTCATGTGCTACCAAGTTAGAATGTTCTTTGCAGACTGCGTCAGGTAAAACTTCCATTACATCTAGATCATTCTCTAATGGAGCTGTCACACCCTCAGCCTTACTCCCAACTACAAATCTGTTGATTGAAAGTCCAGAATGGATCTCATTGTTGTAATTCTCTGCGGTAATATCTTTATATATTTTCCTTCTAAATGCTATCATTTGTTTACCGTATCCGATGTCCGTAAGTAAGTTTGAAATAAGAATTGATTGGTTTTGATACTGTGTCATTTTTCTTGTATTTCCTCTTAAAATGTCATTGCTATAAAATCTGAAATGTTGATAAAGAAATATATTTTTTGATTAAAATACACTTATGTACACGATCACAGTAAAATATAATATTTTAACTTCTATTTCTATAAGAAACATTGTTTTAAGCAAATGTCTTTTGTTGAATTGAATTTCTATTTTTCTTCAGTAGTAAAATATGTAAATTTTATTTCATCGTGTAAAATATCAAATATGTATGTGTTTGAATAGGAAAGCTGTTATCCAAATATCATTCAAAATGTTTATAAAATGTGAAGTAGAAGATAATCATAAACATAATGATGAAAACATATCATTTAGATTTATAGATAGGGAGATGCTCCTAAAAATATGATACAGACTTAACAAGAATTGACAAATTAAAAGAAACTAGTTAGGAGCTTAAGTGTCTTAACTTTTTCTTTCTAAATCATTGGAAAATATTAAGTATGATGTTTAAAGTTAAATAAAGCTCTAAACGAAAAATAATCACAGAGTTATATTTAAATGGAGAGGAAGCTACGACGTCATACAAGTAATATCTGTATCAAATATTTATTATCAGGCAAGTTCACATTTTTGCGCAATATTCCGAGACCACGTTTGACACGATACATGTTTACATGTACGCTGTCATGTTGTCTAAAAGTTATTGTGGTAATGAAAGAAGAAGTTACAAGTTTTGTATGAAAAAAAATAAAGATCAAGATGAAAATTATTCTCTGAAATAGATGTAAATGAAAACAAAAAAGGCAGTAAAACAAGATGGCGGAGCTGATCAAATCTAAGACACAATAAATCTCGCACAAAGGATTGTGGGTCAGGATTAAAAAAAAAATATTTGGCCGAGCTTGGGCCCATACAAACTACTTCGCCGAGAAAGACAAAAGTTGGAGAGGGAACTGTTTTACGAAAGTATAAGACAAATGATTTTTATACAGAATTGGTCTATCTCGTCGGAATCCGACATGACCCTACAGAGAAAGCATCTTTTATAAATTATTTTTGCCCACCACTAATCTATGGTCATTTTCGAACTGGCATAATTAACTGTTGAAATTCATTAGAATATCTATAGCGAGTCATGATTTGAAGAAATTTTCTGTTAACATTGTGTTCAAAACAATTTTATGTTCCATAAGGATATCATAGCTAAATCGATCAATACTCATTAATAAATTAATATCTTCCCGCTCTTTAAAACTATGTATAATGCTCTGCCTCTTTGAGTAAGTTCTTATAATAGAGTTGTTCAGTAAACATTAAAAGCAAGAAACTATCTTTTGGGTCTGTGTTATCAAACAATCCCTTTAAGGGTCAACACAACAATCTCATCTATGTACTGATCAGCGGAAGTAGCTTTTGCTGATACACTACAATTAATTTTTTGTAGCGGTTACTTCCCCTTATTAGTAATCAGTACATAAAGTTGATAAACGTATTATAAAATAAATAAACTCCGATACGAACAAGTTTGATGTAAATCTTAAAAATAATATTCATTCTAAAAAGGGTACATGGGTTTTAACTAATTATTTTTAACACGAATAACAGTAGAGGGCTTTAATACTAGCAGGCGGAAAAAACATAAATTTACATTATATTGCGCACAATGTAATATTAGAATTCACTGCAAAAGTACCATATAATTGTCCGTTACATTATAATAGAAGATATTCAATATAAAAGGAAGGAAAAATCGAAAAACTTGTTTATTCTCAATCATGGAAAGAAAACGAAAAGAGTTTAGAAACAAAATATTATTTTTTATGAGAAATTGAGATAAGGAGTAAAACTAAAACTGAAATAGCAATATTTTCCATATTCCAAAAAGTACGCTCTCGGGTATTGTGTCTAAAATAGAAACAATGGACTATTTTTTCTTCATCAAATGATCTTCAAAATGGCGGACAGTTCGTTATATGTAAATCTGTTCGCTATAAAAACTCCTGATACAAAGAACTAATTCGCTATATGCTTACAAGGAATTTATCACAATTCGTTGAAATATGACTCACAAGGTCAATTTTCAACAGGATCAAATTTTGATATTACTTTTATCAATTATGTATATGAATATAGTGTCTGAGTAGAACTTCGTTAAATAAAACATCACACTGATAACTTACGAATTTGATCGTGGAAAATGTCCAGATATTCTGACATGCCATGAACAAAGTTGTGTTCAACCCGATTCTGTTGGTTTAAGAAATTGTTATATGTTAAAATGAAAACAAGTTCTTTAAACAACTCAAAAGTACTGCAAAAGTAATTTAGCTGTGTGGTGAAACATATAGGTGTTAAGAATTCAGTTAAAATGTCAAGGTCACGCTTGAAAGCCTCATTAGCTAAAAGTCTAGTTCACATTTAAATATTTCCATGTTCTTTTGTCTTTCAGTGAAAAACTGTAATAGCTTCGTTCAAAGGTTTGGTTCATTAAAACAATTTCTGATGAGTTTGAAGCTTAAATATCAAGGTCAGATAGATACTCTTAAACTTTAAATGTTTATAGTTACTTACAAGTACATCAATTATTATATCCAGTCATCAAGTCTGTCATTCATGAACAGTTTTTGAAATAACTAGGCATATTTCTATGGTAAATTAGGAAAACATGCCACATTCAACTGGTTTTGTTTTTAATCTGAAAATATGAAAAAATACATGTTAATGTTTCTACATTATTGAAACATACTTTTTAAAGTTACTGTAACGATGCCTTTGATGCAAGACAATGTCTAGCTGGTCCTATTTGGGGCACTTGCCTGTTTCTGTCGACAGTTCTCGTCCTTATCAAAATTTTGATATATGTAATGTAGAAATACAAGTAGTTCTAGTATTGAGGAAATTAAAGTTTAATTTGAAAAACCAGAGTTAATTTTTTTTAAGATTAAGTATTGAGTTACAACTAAATATTTCTGTAACAACAAAACTGGTACAGCTGAGTCTCGATATACATCAGATGATGCAGTGAAAGTATCATCACTATTATGACATCTATCCTGGGAGATTTCTCCCTTAGATAAAATTGTCAAAGCAATATACACTGATAGATATTGAAAATGCAATTAGGAAAAGCATTAAACAAATTCTAATAATGCTGATAACTTGAAAGGTGTTGATCATCAATAAAACGATTGACACTCGTTCTCTGATTAAAGCACAATACAAGTCTTATATATTCACGTAATTTAATTATTAACCAGAATTTCGAAATAAAATATCATCCATCAAACTTAGCAATGGTAATAAACTTTATTGACAGGCAAAAATATTTGCTTTTTAGTTCTAATAAGTTTTTGTTGCACTTAGTTATAACTGCAAGTTCTAGTAGTAGCAACATAATGAGCCAAAGCAAGCGTCGGACAACTGTTATGTACAGTGTCAATTATTTAGAATACATAAAATTTAAAGCCGGTGTCTTTTAAAACAAATCAGATTATGTAATTTTTAAAATCTTAAAATATTCACAACATTAACAGAAAGTATTAAACGTGATTTTTCAGAGGTGTTATTTTTTTTTTTTCAAAAATCAAAATGCATGTCTTCTGTTGTTTCCGACTTATTTAATTTATTTAATTAGTTTTCTGACTACACAATTATTATATTAACTTCATTACATAATAATGAACTCCTTTTTAATTGTTTAAAATAACAAGCTTATTTTTAATAATACAACATATGTTTATTTACCTTTACAGTGTTTGTCTCGTCACGATGGTTTATCAAAATGCAATTTGCAAGTCTTTTTTGCACACGAAAATAATGTAAGTTTATTTTTTATTTCCCTGTATTTTTGTTATCAAAGACTATAAATCTTTTGAAACTACGGTGACTGATTTAACCCCATATCGTGTATTTTGATTTCTTTTTCGTCACGAATATACGAAAACAAGTAGACACTATTAAGTTGCATTTTGTACCTGATATCAAAAAATAATTATCAGGCAAGTTGCCCTATTGATATCTGACATACAATGGTTTGAATAGGAACGTTAAATTAATTGACTGATTGAAAGACTAATTGATTGGTTGATTAATGATTGATTAATTGCTTGATTGATTGATTAATTAGAATAATATGAATTTTTTGTTTAATTGATTGACTTAATGATGCTTAAAAATGCTTTTTAAAAACGACTATATTTTTGTTTAAATAGAACAACCGCTATACATTGAAGTTTATTTGGAGCTTTACACCGCTTATTTTCCTTTATATGGAAAGAGATAAAATCACAAGTCCCCCTTACGTTGAAGTCAAAATAAGAGGGCTTTCTCCGTTTTAATGGCTGTACGCATGCGCTTGTGCAACCGGAACACAGATGAAACGCAAAATGCATCTTATGTGTTGTAATTATGGCTTGATTTTGTCGACATTCAGTCATTTCGCAACGTAAATGCGAAACATTTATTTGGGTTATTTTGGTTATTTGGGCCATGTCAGGCGGAAACAAAAAACTACCACATAGCGGTTGTCATATTTTCATGTTTTTAATTTAGCTTCCGCGAATTGAAAATCTTGCAATATTACTTGTACGTGAAACTGATTGTTTATTTAGGGGTTTTGTAAGTTTCAGTAATACGCTACAATTTACGCATTTTCTATAAAATTTTAATGATTTATATACGCGGTATATATACGAAGGAATTTATACGCCAAGCTGCACTTGCCTATGTGGCATATACATTAAAATCAGCATGGTTTATTTCGAAATTTGGTAATAACTGATAAGAAGTCTGGCTATGGTTAATATGTGCACACAAAACCCTAATATCATATCAATGCTGTTTGCAATGTTTTACTGCATTTTTAAGTTTACTCTAAATTGCGCTAAATATGTTAGTCCTCAAAAGAAGCTATAAATAAAGACAAAAGAACGTTTGATGCAAGAGTTAAGAGAACACTGTTTTATTTTGATGTTGACTATTTACATATTCATTATTTTAGTATAACTATGTGTTAGAAGGTTGTCCTGTTG